GCCTCGGACATAGCATATATACATGTAACTATTTTAAAGTATAAATAAAGATAAAAGCAAGGCCTCATCTTAATACCAAAAAAAAAAATAAATATATATATATAATCAAACTTACGAACTAGTTAATAAACAAAAATATTATTTAGTATTATTAATATTTAAATATAATAAATAAATGTATATAATTGAACTTACTCTCTAGCAGTAAATAACCAAAAATATTATTTAGTATTATTAATATTTAAATATAATAAATAAATGTATATCATTGAACTTACAATCTAATAATTAAGATAATAACTAAAAATATTATTTAGTATTATTAATATTTAAATATAATAAATAAATGTATATAATCAAACTTATGAACTAGTAGTTAATAAACAAAAATATTATTTAGTATTATTAATATTTAAATATAATAAATAAATGTATATAATCGAACTTACTCTCTAGTAGTTAATAACTAAAAATATTATACCAGAAACAGAGTGATGCAATCACAAAGTGTATGGTTATATGATGATTTAAATGGTGTTTGTTTACAAAAACTCATAAATAATTAGATAATGCATCGAATACACTTAAATTTCATATGGTTACATCAATCACACATAGATCGATTATTTATATATTAAACTTGCTTTGTAACCTATTTAGGTGTGAGAAATATGATCTTGTTATTGTATCTAATTAACTGAATAATACGGTTTAAATTAAAACCTTTTATTTTCTGAAAATAAAAAGAATTACCAGTATATTACTTTACATTTCTGTAACTTGTAGCATTGTAATTAGCCTGTTTTACATTTAAGATAGAAACATTTGTAGGTAAATTATTATTTATACTGATTGTCTTTCTTAATATATTACCTATTAAACTTTCTAAAATCATACTATACTATTATTACTATGACCGATTTAAAGTAGATATTATTGATCTTCATTAATAATAATTGGTGACATGTACCGATGATAAACATTAGGTAAATGTGGATCAAAATAAATTAATGCTAATGCTAGTGTTATGATGTATATAAAATCTTATAAACTTGGATGCTTGATTAAACAGGAAATTAATATTTATAGTGTTTATTGTTTGTGTAATGATTTTAAGATTATTATTATTTGGTATAATTGCAGATCTTAATTTACTGAATTTTTAAGTATCTTTTGCTAACTATTATTTGATTGGCTAATGCCATTTTCATATTACTAATTTAAAACTTATATTGGTAAGTACATGCCTTAGTAAAAGTATCATAGAAATTTAAAGGCGTATAAGACTTTTACATAAAATATCAAACTTGATTAGACCTGTCATTTCATTTCATTTGTTAGGTATATATTTATTATTTTTGTATTAGTATTCATTTAAAAACATGTTATATACAATACTTGTATTCTATGCTATTAATAAATATCACTTTCCTCATTAGGAAGTCATTCACAGTTTATAATTTATTTTAATAAATTGTCACTATTAGCTAATCAAATCTGTTTGATTATTGGTTCTGATCAATACATTGACAACAATGAACTGAATAGACCAATTCATTATAAGTTTGAACAATCTTTGATTGGTAAAGTATTTACGTAAAATTAGATTTTCAACATGAATAAATCTGTCATTCAATTATCAATAGTAAAACAGATATCCAGATATAGTCAATTTGGATATCCGTTAAATAAATGGATAAATAGATAATGGATTGGAACTCTATAGAAATTATAATGATTGGTATAAGTAAAAGCTAATTTATAATTAAATACCTGTGTTAATGTAGCATCCACCATTATTTACCTTAAACAATATCTATTTTATAAGAATAGAGGCCTTGAAGATAATGCTGTATATTGTCTTATAACAATACTGATTTAACATAAATTGTGAATGCTGCCTAATATAAATTTACCAAATTTATCTAATAAACACATCAGCAGAATATTTCTAACTGCTTTAATTAGCCATATATTCTACTCTTCTTTGTTAATTTAGCCATTAACATCTGATTATTAAAATATATTATGAACTAAAGTCATATGATTTTTTGTTAAAGCCACAAGAATAATAAAATGTTGCTTGCCTTTTTTTATAAAAATCTGTAAATTTTAAGATAATCAATTAATGTACTCAATTAATAAAGTAAAAGTAATAAATAATTCAAATTGTTATAATATAAAAGCAGTGTATTTGACAGCATAGTTTATTATTTTTTTCATCTTATTTGCAAATTTTAATCATAAAACATCCTAATAAAATGGTTTTTCATGTTTCACTTATTGTAGTTATAATTACTGCTAAGACTAATCACTCATGTGCACACAGTCTTGCCAAATATAAGCTTTTTTAAGAATTATCACTAACGATTAAATTTAAATATTTCTTTTCTACCAATCAACTGCTTCAAATGTTTGCAAATGGCAATCTTGTATTTATTTCTGGTAAATACGTTGTCGAAAATTCAAAGCCATGTTTTACAATTGCATATTCGAGCATTATTGATAATGAAAGTCCGAATCGGAAATTTGATATGTTTAATGTTCCCATATCTATTCCCCACTGTATATATTCTGCAATTGTTAATCGCAAACCAAAGAAAATCGAAGAATTTATTCAGTTTGGTGTTAATACAATTGAATATAATTCTGTTACAAGTAAACCCTATGTTAAAATAGACATGATGATTATTTATCTACTCAAATCACCTAAATTTAAGTATTTAGGTGTTATGGGTTCGAACATTAAACTACAAATCTCCTATTTAATATCTAAACCTCTCAGATTTTCAGAGTCTTAAAAAATAATGATAGAGGCCACCAATATTGACTACCTATGACTATCAGCTATTAATGTAGATATATCTGAAGGCTCTTCTTCATCGACAGCAAATGCACTATCAATAAATGATATTATTGATGATAATATAAATTTTGTTTATGTACAACCAAAAAATCATTATAAATTATTTGGAGCTTCGGTGAATACTACTTATTTAAACAATGTGGATGCTCAAAATGATGATCAGCTATCTGATAATAAAGATAATAATACAAATATTACAAATTTAAATAAGAATTTAAACTTACAATCTGAAAATGAAGATCAGGATAATAAAATTGAAGAACAGGATAGTGAAATTGAAAAACAGGATGATGATCTCTTAACTAAAAAAACAAAAAAAAGTTCAAGAAGAAGAACAAAATGAATTGAAGAACATGATGATGAATCTTTACCCAAAAAAAGAAATAAAAGTTCAAGAGGAAAAAAAAAATAAGATATATGACAGAGTTCTATAAGTGATAAATAATCGAATGTATATACAATATTTCACTTATTAAGTATTGTTACTTTTTATTTTAAACCATCTTGATTCTGTAAAAGCTTATTTTATACGATATTATGTTTATACTTTAATTTTCACTTTTATAGCTTTTAACGCTTCCTATTATATAAAAATATTTTGTCTTATATTCGTTTATATACATAGAAATATTTTTATTTCTAAAACAAGTAAATATAATCAACTAAACATACTTAATAATAAACTTATTTACTACTCAAAAAAATGCTATATTAATACTTAATTGATAAGTATTAACAGTTTAAGCTGGTAAATTGTTGTATTTTTTTAGTCTATAATTATATCATACAGATAATTGCTTATAGGCAAACTTGCAAATACGATGAAATTGGCAATTCAAAATTTCACACAACAAATAGATCATACTTATTAATCTATATCCAATTACAAATTACTATTAACTCATTTTACTATTATCTAACATGTCTTATGTTGTCCGAAGTGAAGTAGAGGGCACTAATTTATGACAGTGTTTGATCAACAATGTTATGTAATGTCTGTCTGTTCACTTCCGTGATGCTGATTTGTTACTTGCATAATAATTGATTGGTTACATAATATGTAATAAGATCAGTACCACCTTATTTGAATAAAAGATGCCAATAATATAGTTTTTTATTATACCAAGTTACTGAATGTTCTCAATGTAAATAGCTTGAATGATATATTTTTTTTAAATATTCTTAATGCTAAAAGATAAATAATCGATCACCTTTTTTAATATTGCTTATATGATTTTAAGGATTTCCCATTATGGTAAAACTAATCACAGCAATTTAAATAAGTATAACAATATGTAGAGATAATTATAAATGCCTTGCCATAATAAATAACCCCTCAAAATCTAAAAGTGACATTAAAGGGGCCTATAATACTTGTAGCCGAAATTTGGTTATACTAAAATAGGATAATCTTAAAAATTGGGCTGAATCTAAATTCAAATTTTGAACAGGACCAAACTATATATGTTGATCAATTCTACAAGCTTAGTTTATACTAAACCAGAATAAGCAGAAATCTAAAATACTAGAATATATAAATAAATAACCACATATGCATTAATCTAGCTTCTAGAACATCATCAAAATAAGCTGAGAAAATTATGCATACCAAATTCGGTAAGAGAATAAAATATATATATTGATTCATTCTACTGTAAAAAAAAATATAAAAAAAGCTCAGTTGAAATGAAAAGAAAGCATTCAAAATTCAATATTTACTTCATTATTATTATAAACATCATTCTTACTGAAACTCTATTTTGATATTTAACGCAATAATACTGTAGATTAATTTTAACCTTAGATAAGTAATAGTTGACATTTTAACTAGAGATGAATATAGAAAAGCAAAAGATCCTGAATGAAAAGCTACTAAACGTAAAAGTCATCTTTTTCGAAAATCTGAAAATACAAAAAGAAAAAATCGTATAACTAATCTTCGTCAAAATAATGAATATGTTCAAACATCTAATATAGCACGAAACAATCGTCGAAAGCAAAAAAAAGTTATGACTGCATTGTGACTGATAATTTTAGCATTCCCTCATACATTCAAGAGATGAATCAAGAATTTGACAAAACCCTTGAACAACAGACTATGTGGCCTCAACAAGTCAATCCTGATATAGCAAGAAATGCATTGGCTGAATTTCATAACAAAACAAGTCTTAATAAGTTATGAGAATTACCATGTGCAATTTGCTCAGGACTTTATGATTATAAAAACTATAAAATAATTTCTGTATACAAGATTGAGCTTTCTCTACTTCAAGCACCATCTGAACTTATTAATCCATTATTTGAATTTGATTTTAACTATAATCATCTTCACATTGATTCTAGCAGAATGAACATTCTTTTTGATTGATCTGGATTTGTATATTCATCTAGATGCTGAACTAATAATAGATTCACAAATCATAATTCCTTTGACTTGCATGTTTGTAATATTTGCCTTGATTATTTAAAAAAATGTAAAACACTGCTATTATCTTTATCTAATAACTTTTGGATCGGGCCTACTCCTTTATGCCTTCAGGGCTTAACCATTCTTGAACAACTCCTTATTTTTTTAGGTTATTTATGCATGAATCTTATTCAAATAACTAAAAAAAAACACACTCATTATAAACTTAAAGAGCACATCATCACATTACTCCAAAATCCTGGTTTGTTAGTCAATATACTATCTTTACCAATATACAAACTCACTAAATATCTAAAAGTAATCTTTGTTGGAAAGGGATCCCCTACTAATAGTCATTTAAAAAAAATACTCTAAGTTTGAAAAAGCAAAATAACAGCTATGCTTCATTGGCTTTTTATACATAACAAATTATTTAAAAATAAATTAAAAATTGATGAAAATCTATTAAATCTTTTACCAGAAGTGAAATTTCAGAAGCCTTACTTTTAACTACTACAGTTGTAGATATTGATTCTAGAGAAGCAGAGCATTATACTGGTTATGCTCAGGACACTTTTTTAAATGACTAAGAATCAGATAGTGAGATTGATGAAGAATCTGATTGTGATGATCATAATTTAAATAAATTTATCAATAATAATTCAATTAATAATGTAAGCAACCTTAGAACTTCTGGAATATTGCATGTTGATAACATACCAATTACTAAAAAAGAGCTTATATTATATTCTTTACAAAAGTTAGTAGAAAGATCCAATCAACAATCTTTGAGTAATAACTACAATACATTGAAAACTATTTCTGTACAGCCACTCTTAATTCACATACTCCATAGTAATAAGCTTTTAAATGAATATGAAGATCCAACTCTTTTTCCTGCTGGGTTTCCAGTTCTTTATCCTTATGGTGTCGGAGGTCATAAAGGCAGACTGACTCAAGTATCGTTAAAAAAATATGCTAATCATCTTATATGTCACCACAATCCTAAATTTAGACAACATAGATCATTTTCATTTGTTCTCTTTAATGTTTTGCAGCAATAGGAAGTATCAACAGAATCCTACAATTTAACTTGAAATAAAAATTTTGATCATTCAGCTATGTTAATATCCACACTTAATTTCTATGATATAAAATTGGCTATTGAACAAGAACAAAATAAACAAAATATAACTAATCTAGCAATTCTTGAATTACTTAAAAATGTTAATGCTGCTGGCTCTAAATTAATGGCTTCTCATCAGTCACAGGCCTGTATGTGAAATGAAATACATGCTGTTATTATACGTGATGGTATTTCTTTACTTTTTATTACAATCAATTCTGCTGACTTACATAGCCCTATCATAATGATGTATGCTAGAAATGAAATTGATCTCGAAAAACTTACTCCAGAAATTTTTCTGAAAGCAACTAAAAGAGCATGACTTGCACATCTAGATCCTTCAGCTGTTGTCAAATATTTTGATATAATTATTTGGTCAATTATAAATACTTTAATTGGTTATAATAAAGAAAATAGTAGCATATTTGGTTTTATAAAAAACTACTATAGTGTCATTGAATATCAAGACCATGGCACACCTCATTGTCACATGCTTGTTTGGCTTTACAATGCTTCTGACCTGATAACATTGTGTAATAAGAATAAATATAATGCTGAATTCAGCCAGCATTTACTACATTATGTTAGCAATATTGTTCGAGAAGATATAAGCTATCTACTTAGAAAAGGTGAAATTTTAACAGATGATATGCTTAAGGCCAAATACTCATCCCCGAAAACAATTTTTGAAAAAGTGATTGTATCCATCTTTTCAACCTATACCAGATCCCATGTCAACTAATTTTGAAGAGAAATTTCATCAAGATTTACTTGCAATTACCAAGTGCACACTTTTTCATCACTGCAATCGAACTTGTACAAAATACAATCATGGTTTACAAAAACATTGTAGGTTTGATTTTCCAAGAGAGCTTGTAGATCCACCTGGCATAATTTTACCTGATCTTGGCATTATTGTGATTCAACAGACTAATGCTTTTATTAATAATCACAACCTATATATTACTGCTGCATGTAGAGGAAATAATGATATCAAATTTATTGCTACTCAAAAATTAGATTTAGCATATATTTACTATATCACTAAGTCAGCTCTTAGCACATATAGCTCTTTTCTAATATGTGCTTCTACTCTATAAACATTTTTAACACAAGCATCAAGTGAAGATTCAATTAACCTTGTTAATAAATCCTAGACTCTCATAACAAAATGTCTTAACAAAATAGTGGGCCAAACAGAACTTATGAGCCTACAAGTTTCTGCATACTTGTTAGACATTCAAGATCACTACACTCCAAATAAATTTGTATCGATACATCTTAAATCATTTGAAATTTATCTTAAAATTGAATGCGAAAAACAATATCAAAACCTTACTAAAAATTTTAAAGAATAAGATAATAATTCTGACACTGATGATGATAAAAATCATGAAAATCCAATGAATAAATTATTTCTAATAACATTTTTTAATAAGAAATTAACTGCAGTAAATCTTCACATTGATTATCTGTACCGGGGTTCATTACTTCATAATATTTGTCTTTATAATTATGCTACTAGTATACAAAAAGCTCCAATTAACTTACACAAACTTTTAATGCTATTAGGTCAAAATTTAAGAGAAGGAAACAACTGTTTTTTTTTTTATGGAAGTGAATTTGATAATAACATCATTTCTGAAGCCAACAATGTCTATCCTCAAAATAAAACTTACATCCAAATATGAAGAAGAAAAGGAACAGAAAAAATTGTTGTTTTGTGCGATAAAGGGATACCTAAAAAAGATAATATAGATAATGCTGAACTATATAATCTATATATTCTTATATTATTCAAGTTATGGGAAACTGTTCAAGACCTTCGTAAAGATTATGACACATGGAATGATGCATATCAATCATTTTTATCTAGCTCTACTTTATCATCACGCATCAAACATATAATATAAATATAGAATTATTAAATAGATGCTCTGAAGAAACACTTCTAGATTATGAACTATGAAAAAATGCATTGAATGATCCTGTTCTCACTAAGATACATCAGATTGAACATTCCGTCCCTAGATATGATGCTGATGATCAATATGATCTTTTTGAAGAAGAACCAACTGACATTAATTTCTCTGAAAATATAGCTATATTAAATCTTGCCATTATTGTTAGATCTGGTTTAAAAGACGTCAGAATGGTTGACTCTACAATGAATATTTTATAAATTCAAGAAAAATTCTTTAATAAAAGCTATACACATTTGGAATGCCTAAGCAAAACAATTCATATTGATAATTTTAACTTAAACATTATATGTCCAAACAATAGCCTTGATGATGACCTTCTGAAGATTTGGCAAGTTACAATAACCTCTCGATAAACATCCTATTAACATAACAGTAATATTAATAATGACTTGTCATCAAATCCCTTTATCGATTTTACTAATAATAATCTACAAACAGCCCCTCTGACTATTACTAACAGTAATAAAACAATAGATCCCTTAGAAAAGTTTGCATCTGGATTAAATGAAGAGCAAAAAAAGGCCTATTTTCTTGTCTGTGATCATTATCGAAGAAATCAACCTATATTTAAATGTAGACCATCACAATTACTATTTTACCTTGCAGATGCAGAAGGAACTAGTAAATCTCGAGTAATACAAGCAATTAGTTCTTGTTTTGGATATACTTCACAATGTCAAACTCTTCTCATACTAGCACCTACTGGTATTGCTGCTGCAAATGTTTATGGAAGTACTATTCACTTTGCTTATAGCTTTAGTTTTGGCGGAAATAGTAAGAAACCAGCTTTTTTGGTAGAAGAAACTCTATGCCAACTTCAAGAATTATGGTCTGTGATAGAATACGTTATATTAGAAGAAGTTTGTATGATCAGTCAAAACCTTTTAGCTCAATTTCATGCTTTTATGAAAAAATTAAAAGCAACTGATAATTCGATGCCCTTTGCCGGAATAAATATCATGTTTGTAGGTGATTTTATGCAATTACTACTAGTCTTAGACCCTACTTTATACCTACCAGATAAGATTACCTATATTTCTTTCTCACATAATTTTTAATCTATCATTAACTTTCAAGATTCATCAAAATCCGCAAAGAGTAAATGCAATATTCATTATTCATCATTTATCAATTGACATCCAATCTGTTACTAATACTACAGGAAAAAGTCTTTGGTTGAATGTTAAGCATGTAGTTTATCTAAAAAAAACAAATATGACAATTAAATGACCCTTTCTATGCTAGTATTTTAGAAAGTATGCATAAAGAAAATCTCTCAGATAATCAGAAATCAGCTTTATGTTCAAGAATTCTTAGTGATAATCAAATTAATTCAGCAAATTGGAGACTGCTACTTTTCTTGTAGCAAGAAATGACCTTCATGTCCAACTCAATTTTGATGCAATGAGAGAACATGCCTATCATAACAATTAACTACTTATTTATTCTTTTACACAAGACTCTTATAACAGAACTATCCTTATACGAAACAATCATCTCAAGTTTTTATCAATGTCTGATATGAAAGATAATGCTCTTTGCGGTATTTTGCCCTTGTCCATTAATATGAAAGTTGTCATCACTGTAAATATTTGTGCTAATGATAACTTGGCAAATGGCTTACAAAGCATTCTTCAAAAAATAGTATATGATAAAGATTTTATTGATCTATTACCTTGTAATGAAAAAGCTATAATACTAAAAAGCCCACCTAAGTATATCATCATCGAGTTAATAGGCAGAACCCCAGGTCCTTATCAAGACCTTCAGACTAATCATATACCTATTTATCCTATCAAACATCCTGCATGTGCACTATTTGGAAATGTGATGGCACTGAAATTCAGAGAAGGTTTTAGCGATTTCAACTTCCTCTATCTCCAGCATTTGCATTCACTGATTACAAATTGCAAGGAAGAACTCTTCAAAAGGCTATAATTGACCTTACAAGCAGTAATACATGCAATGGTTTATACATTATGCTTTCTCACATTCAGAGATTAAATGACTTACTAATTCTACAACCATTTAATGAATCTATATTAAATATGCAAATACCACCTACCCTTCATGCTGAATTCGAAAGGTTTGATGAATGCACACAAAGAACAGCTCAATTAAAAAAATGGCCAAATGTTTAACGCTAATTTTTTTAGAGAATGATTTTTCTTACTAATACAATTAAAATAATTTTTACATCTAATAACTATTCTTATAATGAACATTAAATTATTTAATAAAATAATTAAATCGTAAATAGCACAGCCCCAAATTATTTATTTTAAAAAACTACAAGTAATCTTAATATCTGCAAACTAAATTATTATACATGCACTATATTATTATTAATAATACTGTAGAATTATTACAAAACAAAATAAATTTGTTGCGATAAAACAAATTACAGCTACAATAAATTTCTTATGAATGCTATTATGCCACCCTAATAATCTGACACATAACTTTAATTAATATACATCATTTTACTTTATAATATAATTTTCAATTAATATATATATAGATCAAATTCTAACAAATAGATAGTTTAATTAAAACATACAAAATGCCTATAATCTTACAAACTTTTACTTAACATATCTCATATATAAAGTAATTCTTTAGCAAAAAAAAATATATATATTTATTCTGATTTGTTCACGATTTCCATTTCTGGTTTTGCATGATAATGTCGCATAGCTATCTAGTTTAGTATTATTAATATTTAAATATAATAAATACTGTATATCATCGAACTTACTTTCTAGTAGTTAATAACCAAAAATATTATTTAATATTATTAATATTTAAATATAATAAATAAATGTATATAATCGAACTTACGAACTAGTAGTTAATAACCAAAAATATTATTTAGTATTATTAATATTTAAATATAATAAATACTGTATACCTCACTACTAATATTTAAAAAAAAATAAAAAATAAATACTGTATATCATCAAACTTACTTTCTAGTAGTTAATAACTAAAAATATTATTTAGTATTATTAATATTTAAATATAATAAATAAATGTAT